CACTTTGTTGCCCTTGGTAGAGTGCTGTGGTGTCACAGCTCAAAGCAACCTCTAATTCTTGGGCTTAAATGATTCTCTTGCCTCAACCTCCCAGGTAGCTGGGACTACAGGTGCCCGCCACAATGCCAGGCTATTTTATGTTGTTGTCGTTGCTGCAGTTGTCATTGTTGTTTGGCAGGCCCAGGTCGGGTTTGAACCCGCCAGCCCGAGTGTATGTGGCAGCGCCCTAGCCACTGAGCTACAGGCACTGAGCCACAAGAGGAGCTTTGGAAATGAAGTCCTTAGTTCAGTAGCCATACGTGTCCAGTGAAATACTTAGGGAATACTAGTATTAAATTTAGGAAAAATAAATCTTAGTGAACAACTGTCAGTCTGCCATACCCTGAAATTTTGGGGGAGAAGGGAGCTAAAATATACCTACCAATACTGGTCAAAATAGGTAAAAAATACTTTAAAACTGGGCGGTGCCTGTGGCTCAAAGGAGTAGGGCACCGGCCCAATATGCCGGAGGTGGCAGGTTCAAACCCAGCCCTGGCCAAAAGTGCAAAAAAAAAGTTTAAAACTGTAAGGCTGTAAGAAAAGCCACCAGAGATAAACATAAGATGGGATTAAGAATACAGAGAAGCAAGCATCAGCTAATTATTTATGACCCAGACCTATAAAAAATTAATGCTAAAGATAAATTTTTATTTTAAAATTTTGTCAAACTTACAGATAAGATTCACGAATAGCAGAAATAACTCCCCTGCCCTCTGTTGAACTATATGAGAACAAGTTGTTGATATATGTCCTGAACACTTTAGGATACAATACTTTACAAATAAGGATATTCTCCTTATCTGTAAAACCATAATACAAACGTCAAAGTCAGAAATGATTCATTACTATATAATCCATAGATTTCCTTCATATGTTTCTAATTGTTCCATAATGTCCTTTTAAGCAAAAGGATTATATTGCATTTAGTAGTCATATCTCTTTAATATCCTTCAACCTGAAGCAGTTTCTCAGCCTTTTCTTGACTTCTTTGCTGACACTCTTGAATATTACAGTCCTTGAATATTACAGTCCTTGAATATTACGATTTGGAATGGTCTTATTTTTCCTCATGATTAAATTCCAGTAATGTATTTTTTGACAAGAATTCACAGATACGATGATATATTCCTTGCATTCCATCCTATCGGGGAGCATACAATTCAATTTGCCCCACTACTGGCCATGTTAACTTTGATTATTTGATTAAGGTAAGGTCTGCTAGGTTCTCCACTGGGAAATTACTGTTTTTTTCTCTGGTGATTAGTTTTTTTTTTCTGTGGTAGGCACTTTTAAGAGTAAATAAATATCCCATTCCCCATCAACTTTTGCCTGGTAGTTATAGCATTTATTAATGTTTCTTTACCAAATGAATAATTGTGGTGGTGACTGCTGACTAGAGATTTTTCTAATTTTACCATTTCTACTATATTTGTTTAGTTGGCATTCTGCTATAATGCAATATGTTTGCTTCTTCCCATTTATTTATATCAGTATGGACTCAAGGGTTTCAGATTTTTTCAATGAGTCATAATCTACTTCTATCATTATTGTAAAATAGAAACTGTGGAGCCCTCCAAGCTGGCTTCCATGTCTTCTGCATTAAATAATTAGAAAAATTTAGAATAGTCTTAGCTGAACAGAAAAATAGCAACAGTTTTAGAGCGTTCCTCCTATACTCACTTTGATTCCTGTTGTTAACATCCTACATTACTATGGTAAATTTGTCACAACTAAGGAATCAACACTGGTCCTTTACTATTAACTGAACTTCCCATTTTATTCAGATATCACTAGATTTTCCCTAATATTCTTTTTCTGTTTCAAGGTACCATCCAAGATACCACCTTGCATTTAGTTGTCATGTCTCTTTAGCCTCCTCTGGTCTGCTTCTATGCCCTTTTGTCATATTTCTATCATTATTCGGTGTTCCAGGCTACTCTTGTACTTTTCCTGTCCTAGTGCTGGAATCAGCCATTTCTCCAAGGAGCCTCGGCTCCTTTTAATGGAAAATGGTATTTAAAAAACCATGATCTGGTCATTCATTGAGCTCATTACTATTGGGTTTTCTATAGATGAAGCTAGAGAATACACACGTTTATGTTTTTATTGCTATCTTTAATATATAGAAAATGATGAGTTTTCAATAATGATTGAATACAACAATAATAAACCTGATTTTCATTATCCTCATTGAACCCTTATGCAACCTCTGACCACTACTGCTGTCTCCCTATGTAGACACTTTCCACGCTACTTGGGCTCTGACTGTACCAGGTTGCGACTGCCACTCCCACTGCTGCTAAAATGCCCTTCTTGCCTCAGTCAGACTCTGATATTCCCTGCTGCTGCTTCTGCAGTCCTACCTCATGCACAGACAACTGCCTTGTTGAGCTCCATCTAGTGGATCGAATTATTAAAGAAGAAATGAAGGAAGGAAAAAGAAGGCAAGAGTGAAGAGATAAAGAGTAAGGAAGAAATAGGGATTTATTGCTACAGACCATGTACCGGCCAGGAAACAAAGTCTAGATACTTTAGAAAATTCTAACAGCTATTAGAGAAGAAACTTGACAGCAAGGAATAATATTTTCAAATAAGGCAAATGCATTCAACAGTGAGAGAATGCATTATAAAACACTTATCCAAGTTGATCATACACTCAGTGAAATCTCTAAAAGATTCTTTTAGATAAAGGAAAATAACTTCAGGAAGAATGGAGATGCAAGAAGGAATAATGAACAAAGAAAATGATAATTTGTTGGATAAACTTAGACAAACATTTATTTTTCTGAGCAATGTCTAACTTGTGGCATTAAAAATTACAATGGAAAACATTAATACTTAAAGCATACCGAGTTCCTCCAAGAGGTAGAAAACATTCTCAACCACAATTGACTTTTTCTAAGATGATTAAGCACTAAAAGAACTATATAGAAGATCGTATATATTAGAAAGGTAGAACTGAAAAGCTAGAATTGTAGGACTCAAACCTTAGCTCAGACATTTACTAGCTCTGTGACCTTGGGAAAATTACTTAATATTTCTGTGCCTTGGTTTTAAAGATAAGGACAGTAATAATGATACTAGTATATAACTGGGTCATTATGAAAGTTTTGAGATACACAAAAATCAAGAAACTTAAAATCCGTCACTGAAACAAATGAAGCCCTCCAGCAACACCAATGAGCCCAGCAAGTTGGAACTTGCACGGGTGAATCAGAAAGGATGCTGTCAATTGTGTTTCTTGGAAATGAAATAATGGACCACAACACAGTCAGTCTCAAAATTTTGTAGTGGCACAAGTATATTTCATAGGGTTATTGTATTACATTTACATAAAGATGAAGTATTAGCCTCAATTACAACTTTCAAAACAGTAGAGGGAAAATATGAACTAGGAATAAGGAAAGCCTTAATACAAAAGAAATAAAGAATTTAAGAAAATTAAAAATATTGGCCTAACAGCACAAAATAAAAGGGCAAAATGCTTAAGTTTTTCAGCTAAAAACAAAGATGGTCAGACTGGATTTGTAGCCTTCCAACCAGACTTTGCTGGCTGTACTCTGTTGATAACACAATGTCTAGTTATTTTGCAGCTACAGAGCTAAAAAGTTACAAGTCATATGGCTAGAACATGTGCAAAAAAGAAAACTTCGACCTCAGACACTATTCAGAACTGAAGTCTTTCCTCCGACCCTAAACTAAAAGATCAAGACATGGCCAGAACTTGATAGCCAGAACACTTTCAGAAGCCATAGATCCAGTTGTCTAGGAAAGGCCAGTAAAAAGACCCTTTCCCACACCTTACTATGAATGGTGCTTTATTTAAAGTCTTTCCAATCCAAACTGCCTATCTGTCTTCCCTTACAGTACACAACTTGGTGCAGATCAGGGAGACACATTTGAGCTACTCTCCTATCTCCTTCCTGGCTGATTTGCAATAAAAAAAAAACTTTTCTTTTTTCAAAATCTGATGCATTTTGGCTCCTATGCGCATTATTTGGTAACAGATTTTAAAACAATCCAAACAGTATGTTGTTCCTGGGAGACAAAGTCAACACACCAAGCCGGTAGAAAAGGAGGTAACGGTCAAAGTCAATGGCTGGGAATCTTCGTCCTCTCCCTTCCCTCACCACTCTCTGTCCACCCCAGGTTTCTCCCTGACAAGCCCCCGTGTCCTCAGCCCCTCTCGATGCTGGGGAGCGACCTGTTCGCGCCAGCTCTTTCCTGTTGGCTTCCGGCCGCCCAGCCGCGACTGGGTGGTGGCGGCGGCGGGGATTCGCGCCGCACCGGCGACAAAAGAGAGGGCTTGTGACGCCAGCGCGCTGGGGGCGCGCCAGGACTGGTCCCTCGAGGCGCTCTCTTCAGAGCCTCTGGTCCTCCGCAGGGCCTGGTGTCCCGTCGCCGCCGCCCCGCGACCACCATTGCCCCTCCGGCCCTGCAGGCGTCGCCGCCTCCGGCGCCGCGGGTCCAGCCGTATGATTAGGCCACCGCCTGTCACGAGGAAACATGCTCCTTTCTGTGCTGCTCCGGGTCACGCCCTCATGGAGTTTCTGAAGGGCCCTGGAGATTACTGCCAGGCACAACACGACCTGTATGAGGACAAGTGAACTGTGGACAGCCACCCCGACTCCGCTAAGAAGCCCCCGTAAGAGCGGGTCAGCTGGACACAGAAGTGTCAGACAGCCATCATCAGAGCAATTTCCAGGAGTTCTGACCGCATGGGATAAACCTCCGTGCCCTTCCTCTCCGTCCGCGACCGCGGGGACCCCGAGAACTGCTTGCTGGTTGGGAGGTTCCTTTCCCTTCCTGTCACTCCTTACTTTCGCGTCAAAGCGCTGAGAATTTCAAGTGGAGTATATTGGAGTAGACGTCAGTTTCTTGACATCATTTCTGTATTCAAAAATTATTTTTTGTCATAACCATATTAGTGTTGTTGTTGTTGTTTTTTTAACTAAATTAACATGGCTCCAATGAATCACCCGGCTCCTGTGGAAGTCGCGTACAGGAACATGAGATTTCTCATTACACACAACCCAACCAGGGCAACCTTAAACGGATTTATAGAAGAACTTAAGAAACATGGCGTCACCACGATCGTAAGAGTGTGCGAAGCCACCTACGATCCTGCTCTTGTGGAGAAAGAAGGCATCCAGTTTCTGGATTGGCCCTTTGATGATGGCTCGTCACCATCTAACGAGATTGTTGATGACTGGCTAAGTCTTGTAAACATTAAGTTTCGCGAAGAGCCTGGCTGTTGTATTGCTGTTCACTGTGTTGCAGGTCTGGGGAGAACTCCAGTGCTTGTTGCCCTGGCATTAATTGAAAGTGGAATGAAGAATGAAGATGCAGTGCAGTTTATAAGAGAAAAGCGGCGTGGAGCTTTTAACAGCAAGCAACTTTTGTATTTGGAGAAATACCATTCAAAAATGCGTCTGTGCTTCCAAGACTGTAGTGGTCACAGAAATATCTGTTGCATTCAATAAAACTCGGCTGCCGGCTGCTGCTGTTGCCTTGGAAGTGGAACTTGAGACAGGACTTAATTTATTATACATATTAGCCAACATACAGGTTTAGTGTGCCCAAAGGAGCTTCCATAGGAATATTGAAAAGCCACATGCTTGACAGAATTGCAGCTTCTATATTTGGCTTGCTATTACTCCAATGCCAGAAACAATATATAAGTAATTTAGAAAGATTAGGTGCCAAGATACCTAGCACAATACTCATATATTTTTAATATCATATAGAATTAAAATTCCAGGAAATATGACCTTATGTGGTTTATTCCTTAAGTTATTTCAGCGATTGCAAGTAGGACCCATATTTGCCTGTTTCTTTGTTGGCCATCCCCGATGTGTACCCGTAATGCACCAGGTTTGTGCAGCCATTTTGTTGGATTCTTACCAAGTCTCATGGTAATTAATGTCTTTCTATAAATTTCATTTGTTATGTAAACCTCCATTTTGAAAACTCAGAAAAATCACAAAGTATTTTAGAAAATCAACCTGTGGCCGAAAGTTTACGTAAAATCCACATTGTACAGAAGTACATGTTGAATGTCTTCAGAAAAAAAGGCTTACAATTTGTGTTTACAATTAGGATGCAACTTAAAGTGCACCGTAATGAAGACAGAATGGAAGGAGGCTGTGAAATATTTCTAGTAAAATCCTGCTTTTGTCTTATCCAGGACCTGTAGAATAGGCTCTTTAATTCAGCAAAGGATTTTTAAAAGGTTGAGTTGTTTTGTCTTTGTAGCTAAAACAAATCTTAATTACAAAATTTCTTTTGAAAATTTCTTTTTTGTTTAAGACAAGAACGAAACAAAATTTACTGAGGAAGAGAAAGACAGGCTTACAGAGTAAGAAAGTTTACAAAGCAGGGTAAGTTCCTTATAGACAATGAATGGGCCTCCATTGCCAGGAGGCAAAGAGGCAAGGAGGTCTGAACATTTCTTATTCACAATAATTTTTCTTTGAAATGTGATATATTTTTCTTGCCTTCCCAACCACAGGAGGAGTGGGCTTCTACTAATGAATTGATGAGACATTTAATATATTATGTGCTTTTTTGTAATTGATAAAATGGTGATATATATGAATACATCGCTGACCAGTCATGAGTTACCTGGTAACACAGATAGTTTCTGTGTAAAATTGCTGGTCAACATGTGTTAATGTTAGGACAGCCATATACAGTTATTGTTCTGTGAGAGAAATGATGCGTCAGTGTTCACTATTCACCAGCTACTACAAGAGCTTAAACACGAGAATAATGAATTGCAAGAAAGAGAGATTTCTAAGATGGTATAGCTGTCTTAATATTAGTCAAAGTAGAAACAAATGAATTACTAGGAATAAAATCACTACTTAAAGTTTCACAAGTTTGAACTTACCAAGAAGTTATAACAATTCTAAACTTTATGCATCTGATGACATTTGTCTTAACTACAAGGAAAATTGATAAGTTTACCATATCAGTAACAGAAACAAAGTAGACAAACATCAAAATTTTTGAGAAAAAAACGATTTTTGATATAGATGTAAGCAGAAAAATCAACAGATTTGATCTCATGAACACATAAGGGATATTGCATCAAATGGTATGAGAACACATATTCTTTTTAGGAGTACATGAAATATTAAATTTGACTGTAAACAAATTTTAGCAAATTTTAAGCTATTTGAATAATACAGAACAACTACTCTGACCAGCATTCAAGTAAGTTAGCAACAAAGCTAATATCCATACATTTGTATTTTTGAAAATTTGTGTCTAGAAACTTCTACTTCTAGATATGATGTAGTAGGTCATGGCAACCTAACACTCTTCCTGCAACAACTAGAAAAATACAGAAAAATTACAAAGGTCATGTTTAAAGAAATCTGAGAACTGTGAAAGCATTAATGACTAGATGAATAAGAATGCCAGAGAGAGAGGAGTCCTTCTGAGGTGAGTGGCCATTTTCTCTTCTGGAGGCATTTACTGATTATGGGCACGGCCTAAAAAAGATCAAGCTTGCTTTGTGTAGAGGGTCTTTCCCCAAAACTCAGCAAAGCTTTTGGTTGTTATGAGAGGCTAGTGTAACAGATGGGAAAATTAAGAAGCTTGGTCAGTTTCCTCAATCTGTTGCAGCTTGGGTTCCCCAGGAAATAGACACTGAACCTGAAATTTGTGTTCAGAGAGTTACTGTGGAGTCTTCTCAGGGAAAAACCGGGAGGGAGTAAGAGAAGCAGCACAGGACTACAAAGCTGAACAGTAATACATACAGTTCCAACAGCAGGCTCAGCCTACCTCATGGGGAGCTCCGAAGATGAGATGGTATTTAGAGATGTCCCCAATTGAGGCAAAAGAGCTGGGCCTTTGGACTGTTGAATCAACCAGGCACTGGATGCAGGCTGCCCCTGGAGGAGATGCCATAACCTTGGGTGGAGCATCCTCCTTCAGTCAAGGGCAATTCTTAGAGAGGGATGCAGCTGGGAACCCTTAGCCAATCATGGCAGCTGGGGGATAAGTGTTTCAGACCTGAGGAGGGATCTGGGTGGCGCAATCACAGCATCCACTCTATTAAATTACACTTGGTAAATTTCGGGGCTGTGAGTGGGAGGTTGGGGAGTTAGAGTGAAGACATAAAAGGCTATCAGAAATCTCCTTTAATCTTATAGTGCTTAGGAGATGAAGTTCTGTGAGTGAAAGAAGTTCATATTTCTCCTTTTCCTTAACAACACCTATCTTTTTTATTATTGCCATTCTGGTGAGTTTGGGGTGGTATCCCCTTGTTCTTTTTCTTTTTCTTTATTTTTTTGCAGTTTTTGGCCAGGGCCAGGTTTGAACCCACCACCTCCGGCATATGGGGCTGGTGCCCTACTCCTTTGAGCCACAGGTGCTGCCCATATCCCCTTGTGTTTTTAATTTTTTTCTTTTTGTGTGTGTTTTTAATTTTAATATCTTTGCATGTGCTTGTTAGTCATTCACATATCTTTTGAGTAAAATACTGCTTTAAATATTTTGCTCTTTTCTAAAATTGGGTTGTTTGGCATCTTATAAAGCTGTAGGAGTTCTTTCTATATTTTGAATCCAGTGTCTTTGTCAGATATATGATTTACAAATATTTTCGCCCAGTCTGCTTCTTGTCTTTTTTTCTTCTAATGGTATGTTTCAAAGTGCAAAAGTTTTACATTTTGATGAAATGTGGTTTATCATTTTTCCATTTTAGGAATCATGCTTTTAAAATTGTGTATCAGAACTCTTCATCAAAACAATTTTCTGCCACAAATTTTATAGATTTAGCATTTACGTCTAAGTCTGTGATCCATTTTGAGTTAATTTCTGAGTCTGGTGTGAAGTGTTTAAGTTCTTTTGGTTTTGCCTGAGGATATTTGGTTGTCTTAGCACATTTGTTCAAAAGACCATCCTTTCCCCTACTGAATTACCATGATAGCTTTGTTGAAAACACCAATGTAGCATCAGTTAAGAACTTATTTGTGAACTCTTAATTCTGTTTCATTTATTTATAAGGCCACACAGTCTTAATTATTGTCTCTCTACAATAATTATTTGGAGTTGAATAGTGTTCAAAATTCTTTGTATTTCCATATAAATTTAAGGATCAACCTGTTAATTTCTACCAATAAAAAAAGGCTACAAGTGTTTTGATAGGTATAGTGTTGACTGTATAGATCAATTTGAAGAGAATTGCACTCTTGACAAAATTGGGCCTTCAAATCTATAAACATTTATCCATTTATTTAGATATTCTTTAATTTGTATCAGAATGTTTTGTAATTTTCAGTGTACAAGACTTGTACTTCTATTATTTATTTCTAAGTATTTTTTTCTTTTTGATGCTATTGTGAATAACATTGTTTTCTTTATTTTCTTTTTAGATTTTTGCTGCTAGCATATAAAAATACAATTGACATTTGTATATTGATTTAATATCTGGTGACCTTTTTAAACTCATTAAGAGAGAGAGAAGGAGAAAGAGAGAAGGAGAGAGAATGCGTGTGCAGTGTGTTCTTTATTATGTATTTTCTATATTCACTATTGCAGGGTCTTTGACTGCAGGGGGCTGTGAATAAAGGCAGTTTTATTATTCCTTTCCAATCCTGACAACTTTATTTATTTATTTTTTTGAGACAGTGTTTCTTTATGTCGCCCTCGGTAGAGTGCTATGGCATCACAGCTCACAGCAACCTCAAACTCTTGGCTCAAGTGATTCTCTTGCCTCAGCCTCCCAAGTAGCTGGGAGTATAGGCACCTGCCACAATGCCTGGATATTTTGTTGTTGTTGTTGTTGTTGTTGTCATTGTTGTTTAGCAGGCCCAAGCCAGGTTGGAACCTGCCACCCCCAGTGTATGTGGCTGGCGCCCTAACCACTTGGGTGCTGAGCCCAATCTTGACAACTTTAATTTTTTTTCTTGCTTTATTGTACTAGCTCGACCCTCCATGTTGACTAGAAGTGGTGGAAACTATTTCCTGGCCTTGTTCTAGATCTTAGAGAGAAAGCATTCGTTCTTTTACTGTTAAATATGATATTAGTGGTTGGTTCTTTATTGATGTCCTTTGTCAGGTTGAAGATACTCTTTTCTATTTAGCATAGAGCTTTATCATAAATGGGTGTTGGATTTTTTCAAATGCTTTTTGTCCCATCTATTGGCATGATCTTATGGCCCACTCACATCATAAAGGACAATCTGCTTTACTAAGTTTACCAATTTCAATGTCAACCTCATCCAAAACCACTCTCACAGAAACATCCATGATAATGTTTGACCAAATATCTGGGCATCCTGCTGCCCAGGGAAGTTGACAACTAAAATTAATCATGACAGCATTTAAAGCTATAAAATTTCCCACTAAGCAGTTCTTTAGCTACATATCATTAATTTTGACATGCTTAAAAAATTCCTTTTATCACAGATAATATTGTGATTTCTTCTTTGATCTGGTTATTTAGAAATGTACTATTTAACTTCCAAGTATCTAGGAATTTCTCTTCTTTTTTTCCCTGTTCTTTTTTCTTTTTTTTCTAATTTAATGATTAGCTCTGTCTGGGGGAGTCAGGAAGACTTACTTCATAAAGCCAATTGCTTTTGAATTCCAAGGATGAGTGATGTCTCCTGGCAGCAAGCTGTGATGAACCAAACTTTAACTGGTAAAGGGCAGCACAGGGAAGGGAAGGACTTTCCAGGTGGGGGGACCAAGCCTAGGCTTGGAAGTGCATGTGCTCAGGGCTGGGAAGATGCCCAGTGTGGCTGGAACGTAGGAAGTGTGATTTGTGCCTTTTTTCTTTCTAGAAACTTTGTACCTGAATTTTGTTAATTTAGTTGATCTTTTCAAAGAACCTATGTTGTTTCATTGATTTTCTCTACTACTGTTTGTCTTTTCTATTACATTGACTACGGGGTGTGTGTGGAGAGTGTAGAGAAGAAGTCGTAGGACATGATATAGAAAAGATCGTGTAAAAGGTTCCTTGGTGTATGGATTCCAGCTTCTCTTTTCAAACCCTCTTCTGAGTAGTTTCTCATTTTCTCTGAGCTCAAGGATTACAGAGGAGAGATGTTTTCTCAGAATAGTCTTGGCTGAGCACCAATCTCAAGGATGCAGTTGTTCCCAAGGAAGAATAAGTCCTAAGGAAGAATAAGACTTGAGCAAGAGGTGAGTGCTACTGGTTACTTTTTTAGGAGCCTAAAAAAAGCTGTCATTGAGAGGTAGTCATATAGAACCACCTATTCACTGTGTGCAGGTGGGGATCCTGAGGTCGAGAAGGCGGCAGGGGTAGGGCCCTAAGCGTGATTTATTGTTTCCTCTCTCATAACCTTCAGTGAGAGGTGAGAAGCTGTCATCCTGTAAATCCCAACATCTTTGCAGGGTCTTTGACTGCAGGGGGCTGCAAGCTCTTTCCCCACTTTCACCCTCCATAGTATGGGCTGCTCTGGACATGAGGTAAAGGTAAGTACTTAACTTCGGCTAAGAAACACCCAGGACAGACTGATGTCACCTCTATAAGGAAGGAGCTCTGGGTTGTTTCAGAGAATGAAAGACGGAAGACAGAGTATCTTCCCCAGCCAGAAAAATGTGTGGTAGAAGCAAGTGAGTGAGGTAGAAGAAAGTCTTCCTTCCGCTCCTCATGGTGCCTTTCTTCTACCTCACTCCTTGGCAGGCTGAACTCCCCACCCATGTTTCTCTGGTTTTCCTTTTAGTAATAACCAAAAAGGCATGTCTAAGACTCAACAACCCACAGGGCAGTGGCCAGTTAGTTTTGACTAATTAGTGAGCTGCCTCCAGCTACTCAGCCTTCACACCCTGCTGAGTCTTGAAGGGTGTGTATCCTTGGGACAGGACTGAACTCCCTGGTGGGTGCATCATGCTTTCCGGCTAGTGGCTGCACTCACATTCCTCATCTGTCCATGATTCCCATGACTCTCACCCATCCTTTGCTCCTGGGACTCAGTGCAAACACAGCTCCTCCTGAAGCCTTATGTACTCATAGGAAGTATCCTCTCCCTTCTCTGAGCGGCCTTTATTTTTATCTGCCCTTTTTTCATGGACTTACCACTCTCTCCATTACGGAACAATGAGTTATGTCCAGTCTCCTCCACTAGACCCTCTGTAAAGGTTGGATTCTAGGCAGGATTCTGTATTTTACACAAGGTTGAGCCAATAGTTGGCAATTAGTGGATGAAGAAATGCTTGGGAAGGAACTCAGAGGAGGGTTGTAGAAAAGTGAACTCCCAGGGACTTCAGGGACAAGGCTGTCATTCACAGTATGCCTTGTCATCTCCCCTCACATCAGAAAGTTCAAAGTAAAAAACACAGTGACAAAGATGGCCATTTTGGAACCCATTTATATTGTGGGTGTAATTTGGGCTTCATCCAGCCGCATACCAGCCCCTGACCCTGCATCAGACTGTCTGAACATTCATGGCTTCCTTGGGCCAACTGTAGCTGTCCAGTGTAAAGGAGTCATAGTCTGGAGTGTAGACCAGGGATCGTACAAAAGCCTCCTTGTCCTTGGGCTCTGGGTAGTAGGAAGCCAGGTTGTGTTTGTACGCGTAGTCAAGGACCTAGGGAAAAACGTTTGGCTGAGGAACTGGATAACTGGATCTAAGGGGAAACTTGCCTAAAGGCCCTTGCTTGGGGAAGTGGGATACACCTTAAAGAATAAGACTTGCTTCTCTCATGAGCATAGCCTGTGAAACAAACCACTGGCTAGGAAGGATTCTAAGCTTTCTGCCTAGACAGGCAGCTGTGGCATACTGGAATAAATACTGGGGTAGAGTCAGCCTAAATTCTTCCTGCCTCCAAGTGCCTGTAGATCCTCAGAGGTGACATTATCCTTGCTGAGCCTCAGTTTCCTCATCTGTAAAGTGTGGGTAATGAGACCTTTTTCTGGAGTGGTGCAAAAATAAAATGAGTTAATGGATGAAAGTGTCCAGTACCTGTTATCTTTTGCCCTTTTGAATATGAGTTGAATTGGATGAACAGTCTGTAAACAGTTCTCTGGGTACTAGAGTTGGCTTCAGAAGAGTGTGAATCTAAATATTCCATAAAGGAAAGAACTGAACAGGGTGAAGCTGGACCAAGACCTAGACTGTTAGTCTTGAGGCCTGATTCTGCATCCTGCACCGGACAACTCATAGGGCATGTTGAAGTACAGTGAAATTGTATTGAAATTATTTTAAATAATTATTTTCTGAAATTATTTTTAAAACTTATTATAGTAAATGTATAATATATATATTAATAGAAATAATAGTATGATATGCATCTGTTATCCAACTTCAGCAATTACCAATGTTGAGCCAGTCTTCATTGCACCATTTTTGGATTCTTTGGAAACCCATCATCTCTGTATATGAACTTGATCATCGCATGGCCCAACAATTCTGAGAGAAAGGGAAGAATGAGATCTATTCTAGACAGGCAAGCACTGGGTGTGGAGTTTTCTTACTGTTCTCTTTCGATATTCTCCAGAACTCTAGGAGAGAGGAATTACCAACCCTTTGGAAAAGGGGGAAACTGAGGCTCAAGGAAATGAAGTGATTAGGCCAAGGTCACACTGCTTCTGACTGGCAGAGTTGGGACCCCAAAGCCTGAGCTCTTTTCATTATGCTATACATTGGTACTTATGATTCATTAAAAAAAATTCCACCCACATTCTGGTCCACAAGACCCTGGACTTTGATGACCTTTCTGCTTGGCATTTGAGGGGAATTCTAGAGCTTTCCCAGAACTAGCCTGTGTGGGATTTGGGGCAGGGCTCAGGCTTTAGGAAGCAGGAGTTTGTCACAGAGTCTCTGGGCTGCATGCAGTGCAGCCAAAGGAACTCAAGATGTCTCCACAGCTGCCATCTCCTTGGCCCTCCTAAGGTCACACAGAGGGAAAGTGGTTGAGCCTCACTACCCATGTTACAGGGGGTAAGATTCCCCTTACTTTGACAGCAATTCTCAGAGACACATCTCGGATGGTGCTGAGTGGTGGGTACAGTCTCCCCTGGGACAGATGCTGCTCAGATACCTCCTGGGCAATTTGCTGGGGAGAGAAAGAGACCAGGAGAAATAAGCTGAATTTCTGCCTTCCCAGAACAAGCCCCACCCCAGAGACTCACCCTCCCCAGCATAGTTGATCACATGCTGCAGTTCCCACTGTTGACTCTGCCACCACTTAGGCCCAGTAGAGTTTAATCCTTGGGCTTAAGGATATAACCTTTCTATACTGTGAGACTGGCTGAGACTTAAACAACAATTCTTTCCAAATTCTTAAGGAAAATTACTAAAACCAAGATAAATAAACTCATTGCCTATAAAGTAAAGTTTATATGATCCCCTCTTGGCTGGTCCAGCCCGTTGCATAGGGATCCCTGGCCCCCTCACATCCTGGGTCTCAGTCTCCTCCCACACATTTGCCACCATCCTAGGTGCCCATCTTGGCAATGTTATTTCTTTATGTTCGGGGCTCTGTGAGCTCTCCCCTGCAGCCCTGGTCCCAAGCTGAGGAAGAATTCTCCTCCAGGGCGTGAATGTATTTTATGCCTTATTTGAATAAATGCCCTAAGCACATCATCCTCCTACACCTTCCCTCCCAAGTTCATCTGCCTCTGAAGGTCAAGCCTCATCCTTCAGCTTCAGCTGCTGGTGTTTAGCCAGCCTTTTTAATGTGGTGGCTTTAATTTACTAGTACCCAATCTTCTGGTGTCAACTTTAAATTTGGGAAACATCATTGGTGCTCTCTGGGAACTGTGTGTCTCAGGAGTGACAAGGTGAAGAAGTTGGTCTCATCTCAGAGTTTGCAGACATTAGGGAAGTGGGTCTCCCCCTCTGTTGCCTCTTTCTCACACTCTCATCTCTCCGTTCCATTCATTCAGTTGAGCGTTCACTGAGCTCTACACTATGCATGGCTCTGCACTAGGTGCTGAGGATCTACATGGCGAGAGTCTCTGAAGAAGAAGCCATAGTCTTTTTCCTCATGGAGACTAGTGTCAGCACACAATCCACAAATTGTTATCACAATTATAATATAGTGAGTGAGTCTAGTAAGAAGGGATATAGAGGCATAGAGGAAGGCAGGGCCCTGTCTGTCATGAACCGGAAAGGCTTCCTGAAGTGTTATAGGCTGATATTCAAAGGCAAAGTACAAATTACTTGAAAAGGGGATGGAATAACATGCAAATGCTTGGAGGTGAGAGAGAGCAAGGCATGAACTTGAGATTGAAAACAGCACATTGGATAGGTTGATGGAAGGGAGTGGCTAAAGTGAGGCTGGAGGGAGGAGGAAGGGCTGGTGATGAAGGGCCTTGTGTGGAAACCATGGGAAGGACTTTGGACTTTGTCCTATAAACATCAAGGAGCCACACAAAGGTCTGAAATTAGGAGAGAAACCTGGCCTGAAGGGTTCTCTTTGTGGAGGTATAGCAGCTGGATTGTAGAGAGAAATAGGATTTCCATGGCTAGATATGCAGTTAGAAAGATTATCTTGTGTAGACATACATCAGGGCACACATGGTCACTTCTAAGATGCTTGGCACTTGTTATGCTCTGCTGTGACATACAGTCAAGTTGCCTGGGGCCACCCTGGTGCTATTGCACACAAGCCAAATGACCTTAGGTAAGTGACCTAAATTATGCCTTACTTTCCTTGCCTGTATCATGGGAATAAGCACTATACTTAGTTTACAGAGTTGTTAAGACAAAATGAGATAGTGCATATAAATCTCCTTAAAGCCTATGTTAATATTCCATAGGAAAATCAAATTCAACTTAAATTGTCTTAACCAAAAGAACCATTTTCAGAAATATAACTTGTCAGGCCTGTGATGACCAGCCTATCCACTCCTACAGGAGAGGGGCCCTGTCCTGCACACAGCAGGTGCTTAATAATTACATCCAGGGGAAACTGCTGCATAATTGATGGATAATGTCTATGAAATGATAGAGTCAAATTGTCTCACAGCACTGGGGGATGATGGGCATGTCAGTATCTCATGGGATTATACCAAAAGGGCTCTAGTAACTGTGTTTCTGCACAGCAGGGGAATTTGTTTTCAGGCTGACTTCAAGCAGGAAATGACTCTTCCCATCCAATGGGGGGTTTCAAACAGCTTTTCCCATAGCCACAGGGCAAGAACACCCATTATAGCAATGAGAAGAAATCCAAACACAGAATATTCAGAGAAGAGGCACAGAACAGTGCAGCACAGTCAGAACTAGAGTGCACAGGGCTGGCTGAAAAGCCTCCAAGAGATGCTATTTGAAGCCAGGGCTTAAAGACCAGACACGGTAAGAAGGGACCTGATGTGTGAGGTGGTTGTTCCCTTTGGGACTGATAGTAGTGGATCCAGACAGGGCTTCATGGAAGGCATTCTGTGGCTGGTTGGTTTCAGGTTCTCACCAGTACCATGGTGAAGAGGAAATGCAGGATGCCAGAAGTCACAGGAGAGCCTCTGGAGCTTGTTTGGTATAAATACATTTAACATTTGTATAGAGCTTTGATTAACTTCTCTCAGCAGAGACATTTCTACACCTTGGTTTCCTCAGAGTAAAGATCAATGTCAAGTGTGGGCACTTAGAAACCACTTGATAATGTCAGCCACTGTAACTTATTAATAACCATTATTTTGAACATGGGTTGCTATTCTTAATGAATTCTTTGATGATTTTCAATGTGTCTAATAAGAGCTCTTCTGGGAGTGTTTCCAGTCAGATATAGAACAGGTTCATCTCCAACATCCCTATATTGGTGTTCAAGATCTGTGTGCTCACAATAGGCAAAACCAGGCATGCCCCTACAAAAAGCTGTCCTCTTGGGGATTACTATTGCCAGTTACCTCAGTGATCTGTCTGACCAAGGCCTGTGGCTTAAAAATCCATCACCCATCATGGTCCATAAGCCCCAGTTTCAGGTGGCTTTGCTGTCATCTCCCTTGTCTAGGCATCTAGATAGCACTGCTGGGAGGCAGGGAGTCCCAGGAGGTGTGTCCCCTCACTATCAGTGGCTTCTGTCAACACCCCCTCCTACTGACTAGACCCTAACCCCCTCAAGAGGTCAAGCCTCAAAGTGATCTTGAGAGATGCTTGAGGTTCAAGCACTTTGGCTTCCACTACCAAGGTTGGGAGAGCAGGTGGGTAGAAAAGATCAGAGAGGAAGAATCTTTAGAGGTTGGACAGGGAGCCCAGTATCAACCCACAGGCTCTATGGGAAGCATTTCAGGGAGCAGGGACAGTGATACCTCTGCTGTTAGGAGGAAGATCTCATCTGGGATGTGCCGGATCCCACCAGCAATGACTCCCAGTGCCACCCCAGGAAACACGTAAGCATTATTTCCTTGTCCAGGAATGAAGGTCCTGCCATCTTCCAGAGTTACACTCTTAAACGGACTTCCACTTGCAAAAATGCCACGGCCCTGGAGGCAGGAAGAAAACCAGTGATGGAGCTTGGAGATTGGTTTGGGGAAGTAAAGGTGACCTGTTCTTATCTCTCAAATGTTGAACCTTTCTTCATTGTCTCCCCAATGCCCAGCCATTTAAGTATATGGCAGGTACATAAATCACATTTGCTCATTAGCCCAGAAAGCTCAGCCTCCATCTGAGTTACCTGGTGGTCAAGATACAACTGAAAGATGATGGGTTTCATGGTACCTTTTTAACCTGTCACTTCCTGGGAAGACTAACCCAGGACATGAAAGGAGTGGAAGTGTCCCAGAATCTACAAGTGCCTAAGGTTCTGGGTTCTGGTCAGAGCTCTATGTTATTAATATTTAGGGCAAACCTTGAGCATAATGGTAAGAGCCTGGGCTTTGGAGACCCCTCAGACCTGGATTTGAAGGCAAGTTCCACTCCTTATTAGCTCTGTCAACTTGGGAAAGTTACTTCATCTTTCCGAACCTCAGTTTGTTCATCAGTGATGTGAGGATTTTTGTTTTTTCACTTTCATAGGGTTACTCATTGTTATTATATCCTCTCAGCTGGGAGAAGGAAGGACTCCCTGCTGACCTCAGTGACCCGGTAGCACTTCTCAGCCGTGCACTCGGCCTTGCTGGTGGGGTTGCTCAGGGCAAAGATGATAGGGTGCTCGTGGAAGGAGGCCATGTCCTTCAGAATCTGCTCCGTGAAGGCTCCTGCGATGGCAGCAACACCTACAGGGAAAAGGGGGGTAGTGGGGATGCCTACTCTTTATGAAGAACCCATTTCTCTCCTGGTGGTGGAGGGAGCCAGGAATACCATGAAAGACTCAGGAGTCTTGGGGATGGTAGCTGCCTTAGGGACCAAGGGAACAGAAGGGAAAAGGGTTTTCTTGCTTGAGCTACCCTAGACCTCCTGTCCATCTCTGAGGGACCACTGGTCAACTTCCAGTCCCTGCAAGTTAAGATGTACTATGATGGCACTCCTGGGTATTGCCATTGAGAGCTGACTGTGCCCCCAGTGCAGGGAGAGATGCTAGGGTCCCCGTCTTGGGGGAGGAATGGTCATCTCATCCTGGTTAGAGAGACCAACTGTGCACTTTCCCACTGCACTGTATAATTTTGCATCACTATGCCCTAACTATGGTACCTTAGTTGTTAGTTCCATTACAGTAGTCACTCAATAAAAGTTTGTGGCATTGCATTGGACATAGAATGAGGGAAAGAGATGTATTTTCTTGGGTTACTTGTGCCTCCTGACTGAGCCTCAGTCTCTCCATCTGTAAGTCAAGAGGATTAATGGAGCTGGACAGTGGGTTACCTCTCTCCTCCTACCTATGATGGCCGTGGGCTTCACCAGCCTCACCACCTCCTCCAGGGAGTTCACTTCTGGGTGATCTTGAGCAAACATCTCCTTTTCATGGTTCAGATGACTCCTCCCCTGTAGGAAAAGAAGGAACACAAAGCAGCTGTGGTGGGGTGGGCTGTTGGGCAGGGAGATGGATGCATTTGGAAACATTGAAAGCATTCCAGGCTGGGCCCCATGCTTTGGTCTGAGCTGTCATGAGCCTGGGGGCCTGTCCAATTGATCAGAATTCCTGATAGAATCTAAAGTGAAACATAAGTGTTTTTCAGGGGTGTGTGTGTGCGCGCGCGCGCGCGCACACACACATTTATTCCTTCAAATTAAACCACATATGGAAAATCCATAAAGGATTTCTTTGAATTGCTGGGGCCGTGGGTTCTTGGGCCAAAACAGAAAGGCTCTCAAGGAATATCTGAGATCCTTGACCCTGAGGTCTTTGGCATCCAGGCCCAGTTGAGGGACAAGGCCTTGTGCCACCTTGGGTCATGAAGCTAATCTGAATTACCTAAAAGAACAATGCTGAACTCCAAGATAGGCTTAAAATGCCTAGCTGTTCTCCAGAGTCCTATTTCTTGGTGGGTGATAGGCTAGCATGATTGTTGGTAAATAAGTACAGATGGTTTTGAGGACTCCTTTGGGTTAGCTGACCTCATGAGAACCAGAATGAAGATGTCAGCTCTAAGAGCCCCTTGGATAGGGGTGAACTTGATGGGGTGAACAAAATGATATTGAAAGATGGGCAAAAGAGAAGAGAGGCAGCCTCTGGAAACCTATCTCTATGTCCAGGTTATGCCTTGGAATGGTGTGGGGTAGAAGGAGGTATCTCTAGGCCTAAGTTCCTTCTAGCAACATAGAATAAGAAGGCCAGATTCTGCTGAGAATCTTTGCTAGTCTTGGTCAGTGACCCCATGTACTGCCCCTGTTCCCATCTTCGCCATTGTTTTTCATCTTTCACTGACATTCTATGTTAGTGGAATTCTTGGGGTTAAAGCATGGAGCTCCTTGAGTGAAGCCCTAAGGAAGAGGTCATCTAACTGTGTCCTTCACTGCATGCTAGTCAGAAACTAGACTGTTTCTTTTTCATTCATCCTTTCATTCATACCACATATTAATTATTTGCTTACCATTTGCTGGACATTGACATTAAGAGTCTATAGTCTAGTGGGGAGATAGATAAGGGACAACTGCCTTACGATGTGGCAAGTGCAATGTATAGGAGGGAGGCCTTTGTAGGCACAGATGCAGGAAATGAGCCTCCAGGAGGAGGCAATATTTGAGCTCAATCAGAATGCAAGGAGGAAAATGGGAAGGGGTTGAGGAGACTGCAAGTGGAAAAAGGGAGAAGAGTACTTCAAGCAGAAGAACAAAATGTTCAAGGATGTGGAAGAGAGTCCGTTACTTTCAGAGAACTATAATTTAATGTGGCTGGAGATTAGGGCAAGGCAGGAAGTGGTAGAGGACAAGACTGGAAAGGGACACACACACTCTTACACACATATTCAAAACTTTTGGATTAAAGCAATTAAGGATACTTTGGAGTTTAGGCCCTTGCCCTCCTTTTGCTCTCTATTCTGATTGAGCAGTTTGTCTCTTGGAGACCTCTTCCAGTCCAGTTCCTGGGAGCTCCAGAGCTCCTGGAGACCTCCAGCTCTCCAGCCTGACAGTACCTTGACAATGAGCCCCTTGGAGTCCACCATCCAGATCTTCCTCATGGCTTCTGCCTTTGGCACGCCTTCTTTCTCTAGGGCCATAACAAGGAGGTGGGCAATGCCCATGGCTGCCTGGGAGGTACCATAATGCAGATGTTCAGACACAGCAAATAGCTACTAAGCACTTATCAGTTGTCTCACCAAAATGAGCCCATCCTGTTTCCCCAACCCCTGCAACTCCCAGGGGGCCCAGTTAAATCCTTACCCAAATGTTGGGGCTTGGGTAGCTGCAATGATGACAACATTATTAAGCTGCTTCCTCTTCTTAGAAACCAGGACACCTCCCCTCCTTGACACACTTCCACCCATTCTTATTCTACCATTGGAACAATAGTAGAGACCCCTGATGGTACCTACCTCACCTGCACCTTGGAAAACAAATACGTGGTTAGAGAGCTTATTCTTGGTGATTCGCAGAGCAGCCAGGATCCCTGCCACAGCAACAGAGGCTGTGCCTGCAACAGAGTGGACAGAGATCAACCTCTGCCCACTGACCCCCAACTGCCAAGAGAAGACTCTTGGCAGACTTCTCCATGCTTAGGACCGATGGAGGAGCAAGCAACGTTGTTTAGCCCTTATGCCCTATAGGCATGTAAGTTTTGATATAAATCCATGGCTTCTTTCACAGATAATTATTTTTCTTTTGAGAAATAGCTCCTGGTTTGTTACTTGACCCCGTGAGAGAGGATCATATGGTCAGGCAGGGCTACCAACCATCATTTATAAATAAAATGATAAAGATAAATGTAATAAAATAGAAGCAAAAAAGAAGTATTGATTTGTTTAAGGAATAAATGGATAAAATCTTTAAAAAATGACAACACAACTAAACCATGAGATGTTAAATGATCATGTGGCTTGAGCTGCCTATTTGGCCCACCAAGTCATAGGTTATCTGTGCCTGGTGGCAGACCATTATCAGATGACTTGATTGTGTCTGGAGGGACAAGAAAGTTGCATGAGTAGGTAGCTCAGACTTGTTTGTGCACTGCTGCATGACTTCCTCTTCCTCAGTCCACATCTAAGCCCTCCCTGGAAATTTCTTAAAACCAGTTGACCAAGGGGAAAGATATTTGGGTATTGGTTTAGAAATTGTTCTTAATGATGTGCTGGCACCAACTCGAAGTGTAAGGTTGCAGCTTCACAGCTTCAGTAAAAAGTAACCCTGAAGGGTAAAGGTGAAGGACAGTGGGCATTAATGATGGTAAATTTCATTCTTCACTTTGGTCCAGGAGATGGCTTGATCTACATTGATTCATGGACAGTTGCTAATGGTTTAGTTGTATGGTCAGAGACTTGGAAAGAACAAAATAGTAAGACTGGTGTTGAGGAGGTCTGGAGAAGAGGTGAGTAGACAGATTTCTTGGAATAGGTACAGAGTATGAAGATATTTGTGCCCTATATAAAGATAACCAATGGACACAATGAGAATAGATTCTCAAGCATCAGGTGGACAAAATGATATGACCAGACAGCATTTTTATCCAGCCCACCCAGGGTTTGCTCAATGGGCTTATGTATAAAAATAGCCATGGTGGCAAAGATAAAGGATATGCATAGATTTTCTCTCTTCAAGGCTGACCTGTTACTACCACTGCTAAATAACTGATAATGACGGAGAACAGTGTTGAGCTCCTGGTATGGTACCACTCCCTGGGTAAATGCCTGGGGGAATCATCTACCTGGTGGCAGGATGATTATATTGGACTCCTTCCATCATGGACAGAAAAGAGATCTGTCCTTCACTGGAATACATAAGTATTCTGGGTATGGATTTCTATCCTTGGCTAGAAAGCTTCTGTCAACACCATCATCAGTGGATGCTTAGAATGCCTATTCAATGTCCTGATATATTCCAGACAACAAGCTTCTAATCAAGGAATTCTCAATAAAAGAAGTAAAGCCATAGGCTCAGGCCCATGAAATTCACTGGTTTTAAAATGTGCTCAGTCAGTCAGGAGTGGCTGGGCTAACAGGTCAGCAGACTGGCCTAGGGAAGACTTAAGATTTGAGTTGAGATGATGAGCTACACAGATCATGAGCTTCTATCTTACAGGATGCAATGTATGACTTGACTCAGCAAACAAAACATTGTGTCCTTTCTCCCACAGTCAGAATAATGGGTCTGAAAATCAAGGAGTAGAAGTGGGAGTGGCTTCTCTCCCAATTTTACATAATAACCCACATGCAGAATTTCTGCTTCCTGTCTCTTCAGCTTTGCACTCTACTGCAGCAGTTCCCAACCTTTTAGACACCAGGACCAGCTTCATGGAAGACAATTTTTCCACTGACATGGACAGTTTGGGGATGATTCAAGCACATTATATTTATTGTGCACTTTATGTAATTATTATGTTGTAACATATAATAAAATAATTATACAACTCACCATAATGCAGAATCAATGGAAGCCCTGAGCTTGTTTTCCTGCAACTAGAAGGTCCCATCTGGGTGTGGTGGGAGACAGTGACATTTGAAGTGTGTTGCTTATGTCCTCAGCTCCACCTCAGATCATCAGGCATTAGATTCTCATAAGGAGTAAGCAAGCTAGATCCCTCACATTACTAGTTTACAGTAGAGTTTGTGCACCTATGAGAATCTAATGCTGCTTCTGATGTTGCAGAAGGCAGAGCTCAGGTGGTTATGTGAACAATGGAGAGTGGCTGTAAATACAGATGAAGCTTCACTTGCTCACCTGCTACTCACTTCCTGCTGCACAGCCCTGGTCCTAACAGGCCATGGACTGGTATCAGTCTGTAGGGGTTGGGAACCATAGCTCTACTGGGTTGGAGATCTTGGTTCTCAAGAAAGAAATACCTTTATTAGGATTCACAACATGTTTCTATTGAATTGGGAGTTGAGACTGCTATGTGGCCAGCTGGGGATCTTTTTGTCACTAAATAAATAGGCAAAGAAGAGAGTTACTTTTCTGCCTGTGGTGATTTATTTTGATATTCAAAAGGACACTGGAGGTAGGAAGGATTATGTCTGAAACCTTGGTGTTCTTCTGGGGTGTGTCTTAGCACTTCTACACCCAATAGTAAATATTAATGAGTACTATTGCAACTAATGAGAATCAGGACCACTGAGGATTCAGAGCCTTCAAAAATAAAGGGTTGGGCCACCATACTGGGTAAAGAATCCTGGCCAGGTGAGGTTCTGAGGGCAAGAAAACATTGAGATGGGAGGTTGAGGAAGAAAGCTATAAATACCAACTGTGGCTTCCTGATGGTACAGAAATGAGGAATGTAGCAGCCTTCCATATGCTCTTCCTTGATTATGACGTGACAATACAAAATGGTACACATCAGATAATATCTTCTCCCTTCTTCTCATTATTTTATGTAAGTTTTGTTGGATGTTAATTCTGTATTTTAGTCTTTAGGTGACAGAATTTTCAAAAGTGACTGTGACTGATTTTATGAGTAGTTAATCCTGTCCAGAGATGGACAGCGAGACTGTCTTCCAGAGATAGGATTGTTGAGATTTTTTCCTCTTCCGATTTTGGGGAGAAGGTAAGAATGTCTTCATGCGTTAGAAAGATGGTTGCATTTTGTCAGAATTTCTTTGTTATGTGGAAGTACACATATGGAATGGTGTGTATGAATGCTGAATAACAAAGAGGGTGGAGTGTGCCAGTTACTGGGAAATCGTGTCTCATTTTCATGTCCACCTTCCTTTATATTGCTCTGTCTGCAGAACACTTTTCATCTGCCAACTGACTGTATGCTGGGCTCTGCCAATAGGAGAAAAAGACTAGATGAGGGGAAAGAATACTTCAATTATTGTTATTTTATTTTAGTATTGCCCCAGTTTTATTAGATTGCTAGGTAAGATGGTTTGAGAAGATACATGGTATGAGTTAAATATTTTTGAGTTTCTGAGACTTATTTTATGACATAAGTTATGATCAGTCTTGGAAAATGTCCCCTGTGCTGATGAGAAGCATGTGTATTCAGTGCATCCTTCAGTTTGGGGTAGAATGTTCTCTAAATGTATGTTGGGTTCATTTGTTCTAGGGACTCATTTAAGTCCAATGCCTCTTCATTAATTTTCTTCTTCAGTGATCTGTCCAGCTCTGTATGTGGGGTGTTGAAGCACAGATTGGTGCTTGTTGCAGCAACTTGAGCCCAGGAGCTGGTGGGACCTCACTGTGCCTGCTCGCTGGTACAGTGCTGCCACACAGTCTTCAAACAGCTCTCTGATCAGTTCGGAGGCCTGCTGTGGTGAAGAAGCTCCCTTGCAGCTCTGGTTGCAGTGTCTACGGGAGATCTTTCCCCGGCCCTGGAGATCTCTCCCCAACCCTCCCCCACGTGTAGATGCTTCTCCATGTGGACACCCTTCCCTCCAGTACCTTCTGAACTTGCTGAGCAGATCACACTGCCTCTTTCTCCCTCTATGGGTGTCTCCAGTCTCTTCTCTGATGATACACAATACTGCCTTTGAGACAGTCCACCTGTGGGTAAACCTTCACCCACAACTTTCGATCCTCTCCTTGAGAGCCACGAGTGCAGGCTGCTTCTAGTCTGCCATCTTGGTTCCCTCCCTCCACTGTCTATAAGACACTTTCTCAGTTCATTATTTATTCCTTAAGACTTAGCCCAAGTGATCAGCAGGACGTTCTTTGCTTCCCCCAGGCACCATTTACCACCCTTCTTTTCCCCTATCTCCTTTTGATCTACCAAGTGAAGCTGAGCTATAGCACTGTACTGCCTTTTACGCAATTTAAACAATTATTTAAACCACTTGAAGAAGTGGCAAGGAGAACTATATTTTACAACCCTTCTACCAAATCCTTAAAATCCTCTTTGCCCACAATTTTCTCACTTATTATGGCAGCAGCTTCCCATTTCTTGGTCTCCTCACAATTCCATCTCTCTTACTCTCTGCCCTTAAAACCCACTTCCATTTTAGTACTACTGAGTCAGAATATGCATTTCAGAAGATCTCCTGGTGATCCGTATGCCCATCTAGGTTTGAGACACACTGAAGCAGATGGGGTGCTAGTTTCCTGCCACTGGATGGAGGGCGTTTTCTGCTTATGGAATTCTATCTCAGGGCAGCCTCTGCCTCTGGAAGGGAGGTGATGTGCACAGCATATGCCACCAGATGGCACTGAAGGCCTTCCATCCAAGACAGTCCCAAAGATGCCACATTGGATGGGTCTTTTCCTTTTTGGGTGTCAAATATTTTGGGGAGGGGGATTATTTGCACTGGGCTGACTCTCAGAAATTCCCCACTTGATGGGATGGACATTCAGCAGTTGTATAGATGAGGAGAGTAAGAAACAGAGCGGGGTGGCAGTGGAGACAGAGGGAAGTGAACTTAAGCAGCGGATGTCAACATTCTGCTGTGGCTCTGGAAGGGGTGAGGAACACAAAACAGTGGGAGTTTGAATGGAAAGAGTCACACATTTCAATAGAAGGATACAGGGGCAGCTGCCCTCGACTGACCA